GTCAACCCAGCGGTATACGCACCAGAACCCTTTTCCACTAATCTAACACAACAAGCAAGCACATCCCCCGAATATGCCTATTAATCACACGATTTATAATCGATTGCGACACCCGTCAAGGGTATCTTTCATAACAACAATTTTCTATATTATGCAATAATAACCCTTTTTCTTACATGGTTCCCGACTATCCTGAAATCAGAGTTTCCCTACAGTCTCAAGTCATTCTTTTCCCTTACCCTTTTTTATCAATGGTAAGCCCACGCTCAACTAACAGTTGCATTCCCTCTCTTAAGTATATCATGTCACAGCCCAAAAATCGTCTAGCGATCACATTGTAGCATTCAAGCAAGTACGCTTCACACACCAACAATTATTCAGACAATCACTATGCACATAGTCAAAATTTCCAGCTACATCATAGGCAAGTCAAAGTTCATTAACTTAATTCACTCCATGGATGAACATTAGATAATCATCCATGCATTTATACAGCCTCTAAGGCCAGATACCAATTGGAACCCAATTTGCCTTGTTTGTGTTCTTTCAGCCGCGACTACGACATTCAGTTCACTTTGTTGAGATACCAATTGGACTCAACCCATACCACACACGACAACCCACACAAAAGGAGAGAAGAAATGGAAAAACTTCCTAGAATGCTTCATAGCTTCCTAAAGATTAGATATGGAAGTCAATACATCAATCCGCAGGAGTCTATTCCACATTTTGCTCTTGTACTGGAGACCGGAAACCTGGGATCTGATACCAATTTGTCACGACCCAACCACCGGCCATGCGGGCACCTACTCTAACACCTAAGTAGGAGAACACTCGATGCCACAGTTATAAACATGCAGAAGATTTTAGAAAACTGAAGATAAACGAAAATGTATGCTATTTTTACATAATGAAAGCGTTTTTAAATGATCCACAATTTATCTTGTAAAATAATAAACACCCTAGGGATCTAGTCTAAACAGGTACAAAAGCTTCTAAGATTTACAAGGTGTATAACATAATAACAAATGATGCAGCTCCCATCATATGGAAGGAAAAATAAGAGCAGTTGAAGATTTGCTTCGTCTTCACCTATGAAACATCACTGACCCTGCAACCAGACTATGACAAAAGGCATAGCAAGAGTAGTATCAGTACAAACCACATGTACTGGTAGACATAATCGGTCAACCCGATACCCACCGCATAATATAAGAATCGACTAGCAGGAAACATGCAACAACACCGTTCACCCCTCCACTTTTATCCTCCTATCTCTACTATTCCTGAATACTTTAAAAGATACTAGTACACTTGATTCTAACTCCTTACTCGCTCCGTTCTTGATCATAGTTTAACAATTCTATCTCTTAGAGGAGTCCTTGAATGCAACCACCACCAATCCGACGCCCACCACTTGCAACATGCCCTTGACTACATCGTATTACTATCCAGACCCGCTACCATTTCCGCAGCGCCACTCTGATGTCTTTCCCAAGGTAGGATCTAACTATTTTTTGCATCACAAACACCACTTCACTTCTCATTATTTAAGAGCATACACAACCCTCTAATCATAGCCAATACTAACACTTAGCTCTCGGTCTCCCCTTACCAGCCTACATACTAATGGGTACGCTCATTCACAGATAATTCCAGTAAATGGGATAATAACAAGTAGTCACAACGCAGTAAGCACATATATACAGGATACATAATTCAATTATCATTTTAGAGCAACATCAATGACAATTAGATATGAACATAATAATCACAAGTGGTCCTCTCATGGAACCCATACTCAAACTGTTAGTGTGTCGAAACGTGACACTCGATCCAATGTATGTGTCGAAACGTGACACCTGGTCTAATATATGTGTCGAAACATGACACTCGATCCAATGCATGTGTCGAAACGTGACATTTGATCCAATCAGCACAACCATAATCACGACCACATCATAAGGAATAGTACATATAGTCACATAATCAAGTAGTAGGTTCATTTCACGTAGATGTTCACACATAATCATTCATTAGATTTGATTCACATTTCACTATTCACATACACGCATGTATATTATGAATCAATCTACCAGCATACATCACACAAACAAGAATTCGAACCATCACCCACAATAGGGCTATTAACCAGCATATACCACACCAGACTAGAAGTCGAACCATTATCTAACCCTAGTTCACAGGACAAAGCTTTCCCCCCACGGTACACATCACATCTATAACCTAGGGTACATGTACAATCAACCATTTTTCCGTGTCCGAATGCCTAAACATGGAATCTACAGTCGATTAACATTATATTACGCGGTGAGCATGAATCTACAACTATTCAATTGAGTAAGCCTAGCCTACCTGGACTCCAAGCAGTTGCAGAGGGATTGAGCTCCAATCCTGGCTTTCGGATGACGAGACGGTGGATTTTGGCCGGGAATCTGCAAGCTATCTAAAAAACTCTTCCTCCTTCCTTCCCAAGCCTAGAACAGCCTTTTGAGGATTTTTGGGGGTGATTCTCGCCTCTTTTTGGCACTTAGGGAAAAAGGAAAAAATAAAACTTCGCGTCATTTAAGTTCTTCCCCGACCATCCCGCTCTGGCGCTTCCTATCTCGCAGGGGCGCCACCACCGTAGCGGCATCATCCCCGCTCTGGCGGGATGGTGGGGTCCAGTTCTCCCGACGTTTTGCCTTTCTTAAATAACGACCGTTCGGGTCGTTACATATTTGCCTAACTCTAATTTGATATTTTATTAATATTTTTTCATAATTATATTTTATTGATATATTTTTCCTATTTATTGTTGTATTTTTATTTTAAGTATTTATTTATTAAAGTTAGACTTTTGGATCTTATTCAAGTCAATGTTTATTTGATGTTAATACATGTGAATGATTTAAATTTACTTTAAATTTTAAATTATTTTGATATCCAATTTATATTATTCCTTATTATAATTAGTTATTTTTATTCTCGATTTGGACTTGATGAATTTATGTAAGAACATCATGATATTTTTCTTTATAGTTAAAATGTAGATTTATTATTGTTAATGCAAATGAGGATTTTGATTTTGCTTATTATACAAAAAAAAGAAAAAATTTTGGTGTATAGTTTATCTTTTTTCTAATTATGCTCATATTTTGTTACTTCAAGTTGATATTTCATTAATATAATTTCCTTTTATAATGTTGTGTTTTTCATTAACATATTTTCCTATTAAAGTTAGATTTTTGAATCTTATTCAAGTCAATCTATTTAATGCTAATGTATTTGAGTGATTTAATTTTATTGTAATATTTTAAATTATTTAATTTGCATTTATATTATTTATAATTATGATTAGTTACTTTTTTTATTGTCTATCGAGACTTGATTAATTTATGTAAGAACGTCAATATATTTTTCTATCGTGATTTAGTTTTAGATTTACTTTTTGTTAATGCGTATTTTGTCTTTCTACTAATCATATTCATATAAGCTAACTATAATTTGATATTTTATTAATATATTTTTATTTTTCATTAATGTAATTTATTGATATTTTTTTATTAAAATATTTTCCTATCAAAGTTAAATTTTTGAATTTTATTCAAGTCAATATCTATTTGATGTTAATGCATGTAAAATAATTAAATTTATTTTAAATTGTAAATTAATTTAGTTTACAATTTATAATATTCCTAATTATAATCAGTTATTTTTATTGTTTTTTTTAACTTGATTATTGTAAAGAAGAACATTAAAATAATTTTTATTTTATAGCTAAGCTTTAGATTTATTTTCATTAATGCAAATGAGGACTTTGATTTTCCTAATTATACGAAAAATTCAAAAAAAAAATAAAAAAAATTGATGTATAGTTTATCTTTCTTCTATTCATATTTTCTAACTTCAACTTGATATTTCATTAATCTAATTTCCTTTTATATTATTGTATTTCATTAATATATTTCCTTTTATATTATTATATTTCATTAATATATTTTCCTATTAAAGTTAGATTTCAAATCTTATTCAAGTCAATGTCTATTTAATGTTAATGCATGTGAATGACTTTATTTTATTGTAAGATTTTAATTATTTAATCTGCAATTTATATTATTTCTAATTATAATCAATTATTTTTTACTGTAAACCTAAACTTGATTTATTTATCATTAAGCTTTAGATTTATTTTTATTAATGTAAATGAGAATTTTGATTTTTCTTATTGTCCAAAAAAAATAATTAAAAGATTTGAGGTGTAATTTATATTTCTACCAATTATATTCATATTTGCTAACTCCAATTTGATATTCATTATTATATTATATTATATTAAAATATTTATCATTAAGCTTTAGATTTATTTTTATTAATGTAAATGAGAATTTTGATTTTTCTTATTATCCAAAAAAAAAATTAAAAGATTTGAGGTGTAAATTATATTTCTACCAATTATATTCATATTTGCTAACTCCAATTTGATATTCATCATTATATTATATTATATGTATTTTATAGTATTTCTAATTATAATCACTTATTTTTATTGTCTATTTAGACTTGACTAATTTATGAAAGAGCATTAAGAGATTTTCCTATTATAGTTTAAGCTTTAGAATTAAAAGATTTTTGTGTACATTTTCTATTAAGATATTTTCCTAATATAGTTTAAGCTTTAGATTTAAAAGATTTTGGTGTACATTTTATTTTTCTTCCAATTATATTCATATTTTCTAACTTTATTTTAACAAATTTCATGAGTATATGAAAATATTTACATATTAAACTTAATATTTTATATTTTAATAATGTTGTTGGCATACAAAATATATTTAAAGCATAAAATTTAATGACATTCCTAATTTTCTATATGATAAAAAGAATATTTGACTAAAAATTCAATTTTTGCAGTATATAAATAGGTGTGATATCTTTTTTTTTTATAAGTATCATTTGCTGAAAAACGTTTAATCAACTATCTTTTCATCAATTTCCTTATGAATTTAGCCATGGAGAGAAAGAAGACTAAAGGGCGTCAAAAGATACCAATGCAAAAAATAGAAAATAAGAATGCCTTGCTTACCACATTTTCAAAGCGTCGGGAGGGTTTGTTCAAAAAAGCTAGTGAACTCGTTACAGAATGCGATGTTGACATTGGAATAATGATGATTTCCCCTGCTGGTAAGCCACACTCATTTTTTCACCCTACTGTTGATGCAATTGTTTCTCGTTTTCAGAATCCTGATATGCAGTTAAGCCAAGGTATTCGTCTAGACACGATTACTGCTCGAAATAAAGTGAATCAACTCAAAAATAGGCTTGAAGAACTTGATGCTATAGAAGATGCTGCGATTGCTCGAACAACTTTTTATGACCAAATGGCAGAAATGAGACAAAAAGGTTGGTGGGAGTCAATTGAGCAGCTCAATGCAAATGAACAAATCATATTTGAAGCTTGGTTACGTGACACTAGTTCCAAAATGTTCCATCATTTGAACCAATTAGAAAATGGAGCTTCATCCTCACTGGGACGTGAATCTTTTGGAGTGTGAAATTTGAAAAATTCAAATTATAGTTGAATCATGCTAGGTTATTACTTATAGATATATTGGTGAAGACTCTAGTATTCAAATTTATATTAATAAGGTATTGATTTTTCAAAAAATAATTTATTTCAATGATGCTACAATCATGTATTGCTATGATTTTAAGTAATAATATCTGATATGGTTGGTCTGAACTATTGCTTATGAGCACAAAACTTCATATGTTGGTCTGAAATATAATATAATGGATACAAGAACACGTATATGCATTACATCAATAAATTGTGATTAATTTTCTCATTTTCAATTGATTTAGGGTTAGGAACCAAATATTTTTCATCTAATTGCTTTTGTTATGTGACATATGATTATAGTATACCATGATGCACAAAGATGAATTCTCTTAAGTAGATTGAGATACATGTCAATTTTTCTAATATAAGGGAGAGAGAATAAGTATGTACGAAATATGTTATTAATTATCATCAGTATTGTCACTCCACGAGTCTACACCCCGATTGTGGCCATAACTCTGAATTATTTTTTGTCCCAAACTAACCATTGACTTGTCTTATTGCTATATTGTAGACTATAACAACTATGTGAAAACTATTTTATAAATGGACATACAACTATTGCAGAAAATAACTCCAATACTTTATAAATAATAAGTAACAGATGTTTGCAAACAAAAAAAAAAAACTAAAACTATAACTAAACTGACTCGTCTATGAAGCTTTTAATAACAAAAGATATGCGTCGAGATAAGACCCATGCCTACCTGAATATTCAATGCCAACATTAGAAAATAGAATTGTTTAATGTTAATTAAGTCTCTTAAATGTGTCATGACCCAATTCACTGGGCCGTGTGGGCACCTACTCTAACACCTAGATAGGAAAACCCTTGTTCCCAATTTAAAACATGCAATGAGGAAGTAAACAGTTATAAGCTATCACCTTATTTAAATATATGAATACTCACATTTTGTCAAAACTAAAATACATTTGTAAGGAAAATACATTGATCCCTTTCCCAAGAAACTAGTCTAAATAGATACAAGAGCTTCTAAAAAGTACTATTTATGAAAGAAAATAAGGCATAGCTTCCACCATGAGAACAAAAGGAGTGAAAGCTATCGAAGATTATCATCATCTTAACCTAAGAAACATCATTGAGTCCTGCAGGAAGACTATGCCAATCGGCATAACAAGAGTAGTATCAATACAAACACAACTGGTAGGCATCATTGCTTGACCCAAATCCTCCACATAATATCACAAAATAATCAAGAAAAACCGAAACTTGGAAATAAAATTAGAATCCCGATCCACCAAGTCACCACTCTTACTACAAGTAGATTTCCCTTGGAATTCATATACTCTATCTCAAGTCAGTCCACCTCCCTTATTTAACAACTCCCCCATCTAGGACATTCCACCTCATATCAGTTCATAGCTTAATCCTTTTTATCACAAAGAGATTTTTCGAATACAAGATCATTACTAACTCTGCTAACTTGTCTACTATTCCCCTTCAAGCTCTCATTCAACACCTTAGCCTTAATAACACTCCAGTTATAGAAAATATGCATAAGCAACCCCATTTAATACAACAAGTAAGTTCAATTTTAATCCCATTTATAAGATAGTATATGAATTCACCGTCTTACCCAAACGTAACACTCGCATGAAACATGTCACACGTGATCACAACATCACAATTAGTATATATATATATAAAGAAACTGAAAAAATAAGAATATCACTGAAAAAATATTAATGACACGACTTAAACAAGCGAGCTCGTTGGTTTGCCGTGCGAATCAAACTATCGCATGACCAAGTTTGAACCTCAGAGAGTTACTAGTAGTTTACTTGATTTATGTTTTATTAGTGCATTTTACAGTTTTACAACCCTACACCCAAACCATGACCTATGCAGATCTGAGGTTAGTAGTAGTTTACTTGATTTATGTTTTATTAGTACGTTTTACAATTCCACAACCCTATGTCCAAACCATGACCTATGCAGCGTCACTGAACCCCTGAACAACCGTGACTACCACATCCTAGATATGTTTTGATTTGAGCTACACTACTAAAAGATTATGTTAACCTCCAATCAAAATTAAACTTGTTTTCTGTATTACAGCCATGAACTGGCCATACCCAATACACACCCTAAAATGGAATCCTTTATTTGATCCAGAGGAAGAAATTAGTATTATGGATAGATTTTCACTAGCCTCATCAGTTGGAAAACCACTGCAAGTTGATATGGCCACTCACAATCAAATTTTCACAGGAACGTGCACATTATTCTTTCATTTATAATTATTTATTCGACTTTTTTTAAACAATATTGATATTGTGTTAGATAAATATGTATTACAAAACTCGATATACACGTTCAACGCGTGTCGAGAGGCTTAGTTTTATTAGTAGATTACAACATTAGCCTAACATTGTTAGGACAGAAATGAGAAACATCACTACTAATTATTTTCTGATGTTTGAGGAAGCAAAGATTTTTGACTTGTTGAAGAGTCACCTAAGAGCTCAGATCTCAACTTCATTAGCAATCGTCCAAGATAGTTAAGGCCTTCTCCGTCTCGACCTCCTCCCCAGAATAGATCATGTGGTGAACCCTCCACAAGAACAGAGCCCGCCGTTGAGAGCAACATAGAGTTTAAATAGGGGTATGTAGTGAACTTGCATTTTAATGCCTTGTACATGACGTCAATCTTGATAGATTCCCAGTCTGGTCTTACCTGGAAAACACAGAAATAAGAGGGAAATGAACAGAAGATAGACGTTAACTGCATTATACACTACAGACCATTAGGATAAAAAGGTCCAATTGCGAGCAGGCAAAAAGGAGTGCGGTGCAGAACCAATATAGCCTAAATTGTAAAGACCAAGTATTTCTTGATTGCATCAGAGGGTTGGATTACGATGGATCATCCATGGCCCAATTTCATAAAATTGCTGGAATTAACAACGGATTTAGAAACAAAACTCATTAAGAACTTACGAGTGTAGCATCCTAAGGTAATGTTTGCTACTGAACTACAACTCTTTGTTGCACACAGGCAATACTTCCAAAGTCTCCTCTGCTTAATACTGCTACCAACATTCCAACTTAACTACTTCTTTGAAGCACACTTTCTGGAATCAAACTTACCTCGCCCTAGACCCTGGGATTGTGCATAGACTCAATTCTCTACGATGTCCAGACCGTACAATATTTTCAGGAACAAGTAAATCAAAATACGAAGTTTTTCCTGTATTTATTCTGAGTTTGAGGTTGCGAAATGAATTCATCAAAAACTAATATCTTTTTTGAAAACTGTGGTGGCCAGGTCTGTGCGTACCTCGACTAATTACACCGGATACTTGTCACTTCCCACCAGCAACGAGAACTAGGTAACTCAATCCACCATGACTCATCAAATTCTTTTTATCAACATATCTTTCTTCTCAATATCTTTGATTAGTTTCGTGTTTACTTTTATGAACCAATGAAATCCTAAAGTTTGAAACATAATAAATTGTCAATTATTTTTTAAGACAACTGAATAGGTTCGATAATCAACACCCCTTCAGTATTACTGGGGATCTGCTGGCAGCCAGCAACCATTTCAAAACTACTATTTTTTCATTTGTTAATTGTGTTGTTTAAATAAAACTAGTTTTACTTCATAATTACCAAAAAAAAAAAAGAACTGCCTGTTGGGTTTTAATTTATTTATTTTGGCTTACTGAACTACAGGGGGAGGATCAAGAGTGTCGTCTACAAGCTCATGTGAACCCCTTAGCTTTTGTCCAAACCTTATATATGTATTAAGAAATCTACTAAAATATCTATAATATTTGACTGTGAACCAGTTACTATTGTATATTAATGTGAGATTGTTATAAGAAGTAAGAACTCATGAACTTCAAATCCTGAATCCGCATGTGCTAAGCCACTTTGGAGATACCGTTTGATAGGAGTAGATAGCTTCTGACCTCACCCATTTATGATCAAGCATTTACAATACAATTGATCAAATTCTGCTATCTAGTTAAGGGGCATGCTTATGCTCTCTGAACACATGAATAAAACAGCCTTGCAAAGAAGGAACCACGAAAAAAAGGATAGTTCATGGAGAAGCAAAGGGATAATGTTGTAAAAAGAATGTAAAGAATTACCAGATTAGGTTGCTGCCTCTGTATTCTCCTTCCAATCCGTGCTGCTTCCTCGGGGCTCTTTGCACATTTTAATTCTTCAATACAGCTTTTAGCTACAGGATCAGATACCCCAACAAACTTTTGTGCCTTCAATCAAAGAATTATTTGTCAAATGCCTGAAAGATGCTGCAAATAATGAAGTTTTATCTGTAAGTTTTTCAAGGAAATAACCTGGTAATAATGCTCTACACTGGACCAGGTGACAAGTTCTTCATTTTCATCAGGCATCTGAATTGGATGGAGCGAAAAGTTTGAGAAGGCACCATATGGATCCCATGTCTTGTAAAAGAATATGATGCTTGATTCATACGGAGAAATGGTAGGATCAATGGCTGAAGTTTCTTGTACTGATGGAATAGTAGGTGTCAGGTCAGGAACTGGTTGCAGAAACCCACTAACAAGTATGTCGGGTCCAATCTGCATATCCATACGACTTCAGAGTTTAAAAATTAACTCACAGAAAAACTAGAAACTAGCCATGATTAAAAGGTAAGTCAGAAGAGGGGGAAACAGTCCAAAGGGACAACAAGGTTTCAGTTTATCTTGTTTCATTTCTTGAAGGTGGTTAGTAGCTAACCCCTACCTGCCGCTTTACCAAAGAAATGATATCAGAGAATGACGTTGAGGATCCTTCATAATAGAGCAATTGAAAGGCAATACAACTTTTAGCAATTATTGCATACTTTACAACTCTACTAAGTAAAAGAAACACAAAGATGAACAAAAAATTGTCATGTGGTGTTGGACCTTATTGCTATAAGGTGAAAAATT